TTTCTTTCTATATCTATCGATCTATTCGATATAGTTGCATCATAAGAGACTCTATACAAAAATTATCGGCGCATCTCTTTTAGAAAGGGAATCTTTTGACGTATTAAATACGTGATGTACATAAACGTCATCTAAGCAGTCAGAGAACTCAATTCACAACTGAAGAGCGATGCGTTATAAGCAGGAGCAGCCGCTGTTTTTAAAATTAGCTTTCCACATAGTGTTCAATCGACGAACGACAGCAACATGTGATAATCATAATACATAAGTGATAGAATTTTGAGATATTAGAATAATCAGTTGAGTAATTGGTCGAGATTAGAAGAATCTTCATCTAAATGCAGAAAGCATTTGACGGCCGTTTCGTCCTATTTGGGACTCATTAGCAGTGCACATCCCCTACCGAGAATCGAACCCGGACCGTTTCGATACAAAGCAAGCGTCATCCTAACTGTACCAACGGGTCTCGGAGGCAAAAAGCACATGGAATAGACTCGATACAGCCCCTCTACTCACAAATTCCGTTGTGATACTCATCCAAATATTCATAATCCAACGGGTTGTGCCCCAAGAGACACGTCTTTCCTTTCCCCTCAGCTGCTCCATCACAGATCATTAGTTGGGTCAAGCAAGGAAATACAAATGATAGAATTTCGAAGAATATATATATATATATATATATATATATATATATATATATATATATATATATATATATATTATCCATCCGGAGAAACTAAAATTTTAGGTACAAGATTGTCCAAATAATAAATTCTCCGGTGAAATAAATTATTACAATGGTACCTTAAAGTGGTCTGTTTTTTTCCTTTAAATTAAATTATATATATATCTATCTATAAAAGGCAGGATGTCTGTGTGTGTGTGTGTGTGTATTTGTAACGAATACAATTTAGCAATTTCCGACGGATTTGCCCCAAAATTTACATGCACATGCTTCATCTTATATGAAGGCCAAAATCGACTTTGCATTTCCCAACTACCATCGATAGTGGAAATAATCGATTTTTCATGCTCATGTAGTTTGCGGCCATTTTCTACTGTCCAGAGTGAGAGCCAATATTAAATAGCATGCAAAAAAAAAAATTCGATAGCTGCATTCGTCACAAGTGGGAAAAATTTAAATCTGCATGACACTTTACTCCAATTGGTTCATTCGCTTGCTTAAACTCAACGTTGATTCTGATTCCGCAGAACTGGGTTGGGTGTGAAAAAGTATTTGTTGTTAACATTCTTTTTTCATTCGGTTTTTCCAGTTACGAGTGCTTTTTTAAAGCTGATCGTTTTGTGTTCATTTTGTTTAGTTCTTTTTCGTAACAGATTTAATGTTTAGTATAGTGCTAGAAAATTATTTCCATTCATTGAGATAGGCAAGAAGTAAGGCCTGTAGCAACATCAGCACGGCAAAGGGCACTCCTTTAAAGGCAAGGAATGGCAAAAATATTTTAAGTCAAGTGATAATTGATCTGTATGAGTCAAATTTTTGAATCAAGCACAACCAACGGCTGGCCATGCTGGGGTTATATATATATATATATATATATATATATATATATATATATATATATATATATGTGTGTGTGTGCGTAAAATATTTCGGATATTAAAATATCTGTAAAAACAAACAATATGAATAAAGACAAGAGGAAACTTATCTTAGCTGACGCGTTTCGTCCTCTGTCGGATTTTATCAAGGCAACTGAAATAATTTTATGTTATTCAAAATATATAACGCATAAATTAGCCTCAAACTAATTAATTTAAATAGTAATTTTCACAGGCACAAAAAGATTTCTAAACATCACTTATTCACTTTCGTTTGTTAGACATTGAATTTTATCACTTCGTGTCCCCCATAGTTTGTCTGACGTTTCAAATAACCTGATGAATATTTTTTCATTCGGTCCCACGCTGAAAAATTTTTTTTCTTAACAGTCGTTTTTTTTTTTATCCTGTCTTATCCGTGAATGTTAGAATTGGTGGAACTAACGTTTGAACACTTTTCATTTTCAAATTAGCGATAGAGCAGCAAGAGGCTTGGAACGTTTCGTCTGTGAGAAAGGGGTTGTAAGGGGGAAAATAAGTTGTCACCCACAAGGACGCGAAGACGCTTTTGGACTCTGAAAAGGCTGGAAAATGAAAAACTGTGCAGCACCTGTCCATTTACGGCAGAAGTACTCCATTTTCAACCTGATCTGGCTCTTGTAAGGATAGAGAATATCACGAGGTGTCGGATGCTTACTGGAGCGGTACATGGAACCGATCATTTTCCCAGCATCTTTTAGCGATGGTTCGAGCTCCACTTGAGTTCTGTATTGAGTTTAAGCACAGGGCACGGGTCCTCCCTGAGAAGTGATAGTTCAGGGCCCGATCGGCGGTGACAGAATATAACTATTTTGGTTTTCAAGGTATTGAACGTAACCAGCCATTTTTGCCCTCACTGATCTGTTAGAGCTGGGACGGAGGAGAGATCAGCTTGTCATCTAGGGTTGTAGGGAAATGCATTTTTCGATTTTCTAAGCGTATCTTAGATATGGGACAAATGCTGAAAGTGTACGCACTTTTATCGAATTCAAAAAGTCGTAAATGTTCTACCGAAGACGTCTATTCTCACCATTACATCACGTCCCGGTTCCACCAAATCGGGATTTTGTTATGATCAGTTACTGATCGTTAAATTACGACATAAGATCTGTTTCAGATAATAATAATAATAATAATAATAATAATAATAATAATAATTAGTGGTACTCGTTAAAAGTTCATATTAACGATCCAATTTAACAGAAAAACATAGGTTTGTCTGGCTCTCTAGGTTTAGCTATTAAATAATTCTTCAGTTAATTATTGAATAATTCCACGACTATAAAATACCCGTAGAAATTCCTTCATTGTCTCGTTAAATATTCGAGCTTAACAATTTTAATGAAATATTGCAATAACAATCGTAAGTATCAATTCAGGTCATTATTTAAAGAAGTAAGAGGGTACAAATAAAAAGATTAAAAATTGACCAGGTATGCGATTTCGTTGAAGCAGACGTAGAACGCATGTGAGCATTATCACCTCTTCTATCTTTTACTTCCTTTTCTCTTTCTTATTTATTTATTTATTTATTTTTTGTTTTCTTTTTTTCTTATCATTATGTGTTTTTTTTTCCCGCTAAATCGGAAAAGCGCTTCTGCTGCACCTTTTTCCTCCGTCCTTCTTCGCAATCAAATGGTAATGGTCCATTATTTATCGGAGGTAATGGCAGAGCGTAACGTACACGCTAACTAACTTAATACGTAGCACGGCAACAACTGTTGCAGTTTTTTGTGTGTATATACTCGTGAGTTAACCCAAATACCTTGATTCACTTTATAGTCCACCAATAGAAGGTTAACCAATCAGAAGACGTAGAACATTCAATCCGTCGTGTATAAAGGCGGCCATTTTTGTTTATTCTACCCGAATGTCCAGTCCAGTTTGTCAGGCGAAGAGAACCAGAAGGACGAACTATGCTCTGCTACTTTTACCAAAATATCCACTGATAATCTGAACACCGCTTTCCTAGTGTCTTCGAAATATTCTCTGCCAACCTCTGGATTCTATACTCGAAGACGACCGTTATGATGAACAACAACAACAACAACAACCACAATAATAATAATATTGATAATAATAATCAATTTTTAATATTGATAATAATAATTATTGATAATAATAATTTTTAATCATTGATAATAATAATCAATTTGATTGATGTAACTCTTCCAATATTTTTCAACAGTTGAGAGAAGAGCGCGTTTATATAAAAGAAAAACAAAAGGAAAAACAAAATGGTTGACAATGTTAAACAATATTTCGACAGTAATTCGGTCTTCTTCAGGTTATATTTAAAAACAATTCAAGTATAGAAATATATAAGTCTATAAAAAGTTAATAATTTAATGACAATATCATTATATATAAAACAGAGGATGCCTGTCTGTCTGTGTGATACCTTTTTTCAGTCGAGATGTATCCAACCGATTTTGACCAAACTTGCCACGTACATTGTAAAATGTAAGCTATAGGTTCTTATCGTAAAAAAATCGATAATTTAAAAAAAAAACATCAATAATCGATAAAGCCGATCAAAAATCCCTAAATTCAACTTTTTTCCTCCGATTTCGTTCAAACTCAGTACGTATGTTACTTACATCATAACGAGCTCAACGATACCTCATTTTTATTTCTACGCCACTGCGTTTAGCGAAAAACCGCGGAAAACGAAAATCGATTTCAACAAATCGATTTCAACACAAATTTTAAACTAAAATTTTAAATTTTCAAATGCCCTCAATTAATACAAACTTCACTCAATTGTAGCCAACAATAAGTTGATTGTTTAACAGTCATTTAACTTGATAATTGAATCCACCCATATAGTGAAAACCCGCGTAAATAGCGAAAAATGGCGATTTTTACTGGTTTCTTTCTTATTTTTTGTTGATCTTTCAACCAATTTTCATCAAACTTAACAATTGCTTTATAAATGTATCCTCTTTTACATCCCTGGTAGCACACTGACAAATTGAATTTCAAAAACTCCAAAAATAATTGTGGTCTGAAGTGGGTCTTCATGTTGCCTGTTTTACCCCTTCATGTCCTCGGCTAACTTCGATTGAATAAATACAGACTACTTCTGTTATATCAGTAACTGCATTAATTCAAAATGTTTTTTAATGAAAGTACTTTAAAGTAATTGAAGAAGATAGACTCTGTTACATCTAAACATGATGCTGTTTTTGCTCCATTCTAATTGAACGCTTTTTTCTGATCGATCAGCTGGCTATGGCTGCTAGTTAATGATAATATAGATAAATTTTACCTTCCGTATTCACAAAGATTCATAGTTTTCTTGCTTTCTTTTTTTTTTTTAAAAGCAAATTTCTAATTTTTTTTTTTTTTTTTTTTTTTCTTGATTTTTTAGGAACTACCAAACTAATGAAGTATGGATGGGTCGACCAGATCTACCCGTCGGTTACGGTGGCTGGCAAGCTTTAGATGCAACTCCCCAGGAAGCTAGTGATGGTAATCCTACGATTTTGAACGTTAGTTTCATGCACGGAATGCCATCATTAACAACATGAATTATTATTTTTTTTTCATTTCATTCATAATTGTTTTATTTTATTGGGGAATTTATTGAAATGTTGTGCTCGTAACGTCCGATACAAGTTTTTCATACATAAAACGAACGTTGATTCATTGCTGGACTCAAATTAACATCGGCTGGATCGAGGGTATGTTGTTTCCTTACGTTTGATCTTCTACTTAGAAGGCTACGAAGAACATGTTGTTTAGTATCTTTTCATGCTATCTCGTCTTCGTTTCTAATGATATTTTTTCCGTCCGTTAATACCTCAAAACAAGGTTCAAGAACCACTCATGGTAGCACGTTATTGAATAAAGTTGCTGTAAGAGCAGATTATGAGCGTATGTGGGATAATTATCGCTACCCCTACACTTGAAGATTTTATGAGTAGGGATCATGGAAGCATCTACTGTGAATTCAGCTCCACAAAACAACAGCTCTTGGCAAGAGGATGTTAGAACGGGAATTTCTACGCGATGAATCTTACCTACGAGCTCCACTTGAGATCTAGATTCAGTTTAAACTCAGTGCATGGGGTCTCCCTGAGGGAACATCGATTCTTCGTGATTGCTGATAGTTCAGGTTCCGATCAGCGATGATGAAATGTAACTATTTTGGTTTGCGGGGCATTAAATGCAACCAGCCAGTTTTTCCCTCACTAATCTATATCAGAGGAGCTCTGGTCATCTAAGATTGTAAGGAAATGAAGAAATGGCTGCTCCCATGGAGTTTAGTTGATTTTGTAAGTGAATTGGCATATATTGGAATCACTACGCGACATTATAGGTGACGAATCCCACCGATGAAATGTCGCAAACCTCTAACTGCTCTATCGCTATTTTTATATGGCATTCCTTGATTTTAACAGTTCAGGCATTTACAGCTAGGTACTATCATGCCACATACAAAGGATTGAATATAAATTTATTCCTTTTGCATTTCATTGTTAAGGAAGAACTTTAATTCAAGTCTAGGATCAACTGTTATCTGTCTCACATATATTCATAATTTATAAATGTTTGATTTGAACATGATATTCAAAGAAATGGATATCGTATAAGAATGTTTCAGAAATATTCAATATGTGATATGACACACGTCAAGTCGGTAGTCCAGCTCCTTCCAAGCATAGAAATGAATACAATATGGGAACCATTGCAATATGAGCTCTTAAATAATGCATTATAACAGCAAAAAAAATAATTTCAGCACTATTTAAAATGGTTAATGAAGACATTTTAGTTTATAAGCCTCAGAAATTTAAAATTTTTTCAAGGAACATGGCACAATGGATAAAGGCGTTTTTAGATCCAATGACATTGCCTGACCCAAAGAGAACTTGGAGGGAATTTTTAGGAGATAACTGATAACTTGACATTACGTGGAACTAGAACAGTCTACCTCAGCGAGCGAAATAAAGGGTTCAGTTCGACATTCCAACCACCTAAGAAGAAGGCACAGCGTAGAATTATAAAGGTTGGGATAAATATTATAAACAAAGATGAAGACAATAGTCCGAATAAATTTTCTAAATTTTCCACATAATATCTCATCTCATAAAATAAATCTCATTTATTTACTAAAGCTTTTATGTTCAATATGCATACAACCTGTGACATGACACACGTCAAGTCGGTAGTCGAGCTCCTACCAAACACGCTGTAGCATGTCTTGCGTAACCTTTTCCAGCGCATCAGAGAATTTTCAAAAAGTTTCTCTTATAGCTTGTTCAATATTCTAGGTGCATTGTATAGACCTATCCTTTCACATAACCTCATGGCAATTTCAACAGCGCATTGTCATTTAGATTTGACTGGCAATGCCTGGAAAATTCTCTTGGAGAATGTTACAAAAACATGCTAAGCGCTTTTTTTCAGTTTTTAACATACATTAATCTAAAGATAAACGAATCTTAAATAAAAAATCAGATCGTCCAGAAAAATATCTAATCTGTCAGCTGTACACAACTGATTTCTTCACTCGATGTTTATAAATGGATTCAAGCGAATGAAACTTGTAGATCTTAGAGAGGGCCATCTTTCTTCTAACATAATTTACAAATCTTACCTACCTGGGCTTATGGCCATATGACTTTGAAGCATCTGTCCTTGTACGATCACCGAAGTTAAGCAACGTCGAGTTTCGTCAGTAACTAGATGGCGAGTCGCTTCGGAATACCAGGTACTGTAAGCCTGGATGCGCGGGCGGTGTAATGGATAACGGTTCGGAATTGGAAATCGGAGAGCAGAGTTCAAAATTTCAGTCGAGTTCGTTATATCCACTTATGCCTTTGGAAAGGCATGAAACCACATCTCCCCGCAGCTATGGGTTAATTAATAGAACTTATATCAGTAAATCATTATTAACTAAAAAAACATTTAAAAAATCTAAATATATTTTATGGATTTAAATAACCTGAAAGAGGTTGATAAGTCGTAAAAAACAACAACAAATCTGTCTATATTTCTGAGATGAGGTATTATGTACACTATTTACATTATTCGGACCATTGTTCACATCTTTGTTGCCATATTTATCACAACGTTTCGGCCTGAAGAATGCTGATCTTCTTTAAATACATTGCAAATTGGATAAAGGCGTTAGTTAGACCCTCGTGACAGTACCCAAAGAATTCTTCAGTTAAATATTAGGTTAAAAAATTCCACAAGAACCTGGAGAAATTAACAAATAAATAATATTTATAATTAGACATAACGTGGAACTAAAACAGCCTTACCCAGCGAGCGAAATAAAGGGTTTTTTTATTCGACATTCCAATTTGTACTGAAGAATTTTGTCCAAATTAACGGCCGAAACGTTGTTTATAAATATATTAAAGATGAGGACAATAATCCGAATAATGTAACCAGAAGTGAACAAAAAATCTATCAATCCGTAAACCCTGGGAAAAATCCTTTTAAACAACCACATTCAGGAAAATCTCTGCCTTGAATGGCTCTTGGGCCTTGTACAGGGTGAATATTTATTTTTAAAAAGTAAATATAAAACTGTCTATCAAATTAAATTGTACGCTTTCAGTTTCTAGTCGTATAGATCATTTAGTGAATTTTATGTTTTACTAGGTTCTCAGTGAAGAAAAAAGACTAAGATTAAAGAAATTTAGGGTCAAAAAAAACATATAAATTTTATATAGTTATCTTACTATCTAATAATCTATATCTCTTATTCTCTACTTTTATATCCAGGAAAAACGTAATTCAGTAACACTCTGCTTTGTATGGTTCTTGGGGCTTCCATTGTGGGGAAAATAATATCAACAAGGCCCTTATTTTGAGCGTGGTGATGTTTTTCTTGTTGCAGGCGTCTATTGTTGCGGTCCTTCCCCAGTCATTGCTATTAGGAACGGTGAAGTTAATCAGTGTTACGATACGCGCTTCATGTTTGCCGAATTGAACGCCGATCGAGTCTATTGGCTCACACAAATCCAATGTGCGGCAACTAAATGATATATATACATTTAAGATTCGTAAAATGAAAAATATCGTCCTTTTATTTTTCATTTTCTTTCTTAACCAGCATTTTGTTTTCTTTTATTTCATCGCCATTTTCTCTTTTTTTTTTCTCATAAAATCCTGTCTTTTTTTCTCTTCATTTTCCATTTATTTTTATCTCTTTCCTATATTAAAAAGAAAGAAACCCAAAATAAACAACTTTTATTTCTTTGCACTATTAACATTGTTCGGACCATTATCCTCATCGTTATTTTCATATCCACGACGTTTCGGCCATTGTACGCTCCGGTCTTCTTCAGGATCCGTCTATATTTCTGAGATGTGGTATTATTACTGTTTATCCTATTAACATTGTTCGGACCGTTATCCTCATCTTTATTTTCATATCCACAACGTTTCGGCCATTGTACGCTCCGGTCTTCTTCAGGATCCGTCTATATTTCTGAATTGAGGTATTGTAACTATTTACACTATTCACATTGTTCGGACCGTTGTCTTTATTTTCATATTCACGATGTTTCGGCCGTTGTACGTTCAGGCTTTCTTCACGATCTGTTTATATTTCTGAGATGAGGTATTGTAACTCTTTATACTAATGACATCATTTGGACTGTTGTCATCATATTTATTAATATATTTATTGGGGCTTTCGGCCGTTGTAAAATCCGGTCTTCTTTTACCTGTCTATAAAACTGAGATGAAGTATTGTAAATATTTACAATATTCACATTGTTCAGACTGTTCTCTTAATCTTTATTGCTATATTCACAACTTTTCGGCCGTTGTACGCTCAGGCCTTCTTCACTGTCTGTCTCTATTTATAGGATGAAGTATTGTAACTATTTACACTATTGACATCATTCAGACTGTTCTTCTCAACTTTGTTGCTATATTCCCGAATTGTTTTAATACATTGTACAATTCTATATTTTCTTCCCGATCTGGTTATATTTGTATTTAATGATATTGTATTATTTAAACTATTTACATTGTTTGGACAGTTGTCCTCATTTTTATTTTCATGTTCACGACGTTTCGGCCGTTTACGCTCAGTCATTCTTCACTGTCTGTCTATATTTCTAAGATGAGGTATTGTAAATATTTACACTGTTCCGACTGTTCTCCTCATCTTTATTGCTATATTTACAACGTTTCAGTGGCTTCGGCCTTCTTCACGATCTGTCTATATTTCTGAGATGTGGTATTATTACTGTTTACACTATTTACATTGTTCGGACCGTGTTGTCCTCATCTTTATTGTCATATTCATGATGGTTTCGGCCGTTATATGCTCCGGCCTTCTTCACGATCTGTCTATATTTCTGAATTGAGGTATTGTAACTATTTAGGCTATTTACACTGTTCGGTAAATTATTTTCATTTTCACGATGTTTTCTTTCGCTTTCTTTTTGCTTTTTTAAATTCCATTTTGTTTTCTTTATTTTTATTTCTAATTAATTTTCTTTTTTTATTTTCTCGCTGTCCCACTTTTTTTTTTTTTAGCAATATTCAGTCAGTTTCGTCTTTATGCTTTCGTTCATTTTCTGGATTCATTTATTTTTCTATTTTGTTTCCCTTTTTTGTTTTTAGTGAATTTTCTTTCTTTTTTTCGGATTTTTTTTTTCTTTTTTTTTTATCAGGCAACACATTTTTCTTGCTTTTTTCCTTTCCGCTTTCTTTTGTCTACGTTTTATATTACCTTTCTTTATCATATCCTTTCTTCAGTTTTTCATCGTCTCTTTCTTTCTTTCTTGCTTCATTCCAACTCATATTTTTCTTTCTTTCTTTTTCATTTTTAGCTCTTTATTTATTTTACTTCTTTTTTCTTCATCCATCTCTCTTTTTCTTTCTTTCTTTCTTTATTTCTTTCTTTTTTCTTTCTTTCTTTCTTTCTTTCTTTCTTTCTTTCTTTCTACTGTTTCATTCTTCCTTCAGTTGTTATTGCTTCATCCCAACCCATATTTTTCTTTCTTTCTTTTTCGTTTTTAGCTCTTTATTTTACCTCTTTTTTGTTTATTCATATCTCGTTTTCTTTCTTTCTTTATTTCGTTCTTTCTTTCTTTCTTTCTTTCTTTCTTTCTTTCGTTCTTTCTTTCTTTCTTCTATTCCATTCTTCCTTCAGTTTTTATTGCTTCATTCCTACCCATATTTTTCTTCCTTTTTTCATTTTTAACTCTTTATTTATTTAAAAACATGGAAATTCATCTCTTTTTTCTTTCTTTTTTTTTTCCTTTTTTTTTTTTTTCTTCAAATTTTATTTTTTCATTCCAACTTATGATATTTTTTGAGTTTTTTTTCTTTTTTTCATTTTTAACTCTTTTTTTTCATTCATTGATCTCTTTTCTTTTTTCTTTCTTTTCAATCTTTCTTTTTCTTTCTTTCTTTCTACTATTTCATTTTCCTTCTTTCTTTCTTTCTTCAGTTTTTATTGCCATTTCATACCCATATTTTTTCTTTTAATAAATTCTTTTTTTAGGATTTTTAACTCTTTTTTTTCTTCATTCATCTCTCTTTTGAGACACCGGAGGTTCTTTTTTTTCTTTCTTTTTTTTTTAAACTATAATTTCATAAAAATTTCAGTTTTTTTTTACTTCATTCCTAACCCCCTTTTTTTTTTCTTTTTCGTTTTAGCTCTTTTAAATTTTTTAATTTTTTTTTTTCATTCGTCTTTTCTTTCTTTTCTTTCTTTCTTTCTTTCTTTCTTTTTTCATTTTTTTTTTTTTTTTTTTTTCTTTTCGTTTTCCAACATCCGAATTGTCTTTGGCCTTTTTTACCAAATCTTTGGTTCCAACCATTATTTTGATTCCCCCTACATTTTTTTTTTTGTTCTCCAGACTCGGTCAGTATATATGCACCAAGGACCCAGACTGCAATGCCGGTACAAACGGGAAAAACACACGCATGGACATCACCAGTGATTACAAATTGCAATGCGGTAAGAACTTCATAGTAAAGCTAAAACAGGAATCGACACGCTAGAATTGAAAGCAAAACCTGTATAACATATTTTTTTCATTGAATCACGCTACACGTTTCGAAACGTTTACTACCTTCATCAGTGAACGATGTAAATTGATTTAATTTTTTTTAACATAAAACGCAAAAGTTTTTTTAATTTTATCATCCTCCTTTTATTTCAACTTGAAGGCGAACTGCAGAGTGATTTAATTTGACATCATGCCCACGTCCTGTTGTGTTTCTTCAGCACCAACAAAGCAGACTTTAGTCATAGTTAAAATGGGTCCCCTGCAAGAGCCACACACGCTTTCGAATTTAGTGTTCCATCTATGGTCAAAGAGTTCAGCCTGTTTTGCTATTTGATCCATAGCTGAGGAGAAGAGATGAATCAAAACCTTCCTGAGCGTATTTGTGCGAAAGTGAATGTAACGAACTCGACCGGAATCCAAACACGGCTCTCTAATTTTTTGTAGCGATTCTCTAACCATCATTTATAAGCGGTTACATATCTAAGCACTGTCCAGGCTCGAAAACAGTTTGTTGTACACCCACCTCTTTCCAACGAACTTTTAAAAACATCAGTCTCTTTCCGTATAACAAGATGTCAACGTTTATACGAAAGGGCCATAATCCATATTCTAAAGTTTTTGGAGCATGGAATAATTTCTTCATTGTTCATTAGCTTTTAACTTCCCCAAAACTTGTTTTCATTAAAAGCCTTCTTTCCTCCCTTCAGTCCTCCTTACGCGTAGAGTGACAAGATGGAAAGGAGATTTATCAGCTTTGATTGTTATGACCGCCTTAGACAAGCCTTTAAAAATCTTAGACATTTTCTTTCCATTCTATACAAGCCGTGACCAATTTTAACACAAGCTTTGACCATCTTAATTCATTCACCAATTCAGGCAACCTTTGACCAACAGTTAGATGTCGAGTTTGACCATAAAAACGCTTATTTAAGACTTTCCACAAACTATGACCAATACAGACATGCTTTGAAATCTTAGACAAAATCTGACCAGTCTAACAAGTTACCACCACCTTAGACAAGCTTTGTAATTAGATAAATAAGCTATGACCACCTTAGACAAAATTCAATACTGACCATTTTAGACAATCTCTACTGAGTCTATAAAAGAAGACCACCTTAGGAACTTAAATCTTTGATAATCTCTGATCTTTTAAATATAATGTGTATTTTATTAGAACAGAAGTAAATGACCATCTTATATCTTTTCTTTTTCATAGTCTATACAAGCTATACAAAATTAGATGTTTTTTGAAGATCTTAGACAGTTATTTGCAGGCTTTTACATTCCTGATTGGTTGTAGGAAAGCTTTGACCATCTTTGAAAAAAAATGGATTTTTCTAGGACAAGCTAAATACGGTTATTAGAAAGCTTTTGCAAAATTTTTCTGAGAAAAAAGACCAACTTAAATAACGATGATGAAACCAAGTTTTTTTACAAGTTCAAGATTCCAGACAAAGCCAGAGTTCCCATAGTGGAATTTTATTTTGTTATAAAAAATATATAAGGATGTCCCTTGACCTTTGGAATCGACAATGTTCCAAATTTGAGCTTGCACATTTTCGCGTTCATTCGAAGGTTTTAAGGTATAGAAGAAGGGTTATTTTCCCAATCGGAGTAGATGCTTAAAAAAAAATCTGTTCCGTTCCAGAAACCTCTCCTTCCTTGCGTTGTCCACCCACAGTTGGGAAACATCTGTTCCGTCGCGGTCGTATTGCAGTCTATACTTTATAGATAAGCTATCCAAACTAAGACCAGCTTATACAGAATTTCTTAAAAAAAAAAGGTCCCCACGTTCTTCCTATGTGGCCATACCAAAGAAAAATTTAATTTTACCAAAAACTCTTCCAAAAAACTTTTACAACATTCAGAAGGACAAGCTTTAGAGTTTAAAACACTGAGGGCCGTGACGGAAAATGCTTTAAAAGCTGAAACACTGAGGGCCGTGATGGAAAATGCTTTAGAAGCTGAAACTAGACGCCACTTAAAAGAGAATTTGTTGTTCATGATGACGGTCGAGTATAGAATCCAAAGGTTAGCAGTGAATATTTCGAAGACAGTAGGGAAGCGTTGTTCAGTTTAGCAGTGGACATTTTTGTAAAAGTAGCAGAGCATAGTTCGTCCTTCTGGTTCTCTTCGCCTGACAAGCTGGACTGGACATTCGGGTAGAGTAGACAAAATGGCCGCCTTTATACACGACGGATTGAATGTTCTTAGTTAACCTTCTATTGGTGGACTATAAAGTGAGTCAAGTGATTCGGGCTAACTCACTAGTACATACATATATGCAAAAAACTGCAACAGAATTCGTATATCCTCGAGTGTCCAGCTTCAAATACTTGGCACGCTTTCGAGAAAAAATGCTCGAGAAAGATCCTCTGCCTCTGCTACTGGAAGCTAAAACCAATAACGATGTATAGAGTAAGGTCAAAAACCTCGTGGACAGATAGGAATCTCTCCTCGCCAGTATTAAGCGACGGAAGACGTCATAGTTTGTTCACGTCACACGGTATGACAGTCTCTGCAAGACCATCATGCGAGGCACTGTTGAAGACGGACGCAAGTGGGAACGGCAATAAAAGATCTGGACAGACAAAATTAAAGAAAGGACAGTCATGACAATGCCGGAACGCCTGAGAGCCACGGCCAACTGGTCATCCGAGAGGAGGTTGTCTGTTTCTTCTGACCTTAGATCCCCCCACCGACGATTGAAGCAGTCAAGGGACTGGCGATAATGAGTAGGCAGAGCGGTAGGGTAGAATTAATTATTTAAAGGACAATAATAAAACTTGAAATAAAGTCTTTGTAAAGGAAACGAAATGCAGACGGAGCAGCCAATCGTTACTGATTACGGTACTCGCACCCCCGTCAGTCAAAGAGACGGCGTTTAGTCTGCGAACCCCGGAATGTATAGCGATGAAGAAAGAGTCTATCAGCTTCTCAAGGAGATAGTCGGGACGGTGATCTGAGCGATGTTAGCGGTGTACATGTTTCGGTCGCCAAACGCTAAAAGCAGGCATATTTTCAGAAGAGGCTTCCCTGCTAGAATAAGAGCCTGTGCGAACCGCGGAACGTCTGGTTCTGAAGAAAGAAATTGTCTACCAGCTTCCCAAGGAGATAGTCGGGACAGTGAGCTGTGCGGTCTTAGCTATGCAAATGATTCCTTTGCTAGGCAACCGCTAAAGATTTAGGCTCCATAAAGCAGGTACATTTGCTGGAAAACAAAAAATTGGTAGTTCGTTGAGGTCAACATGCTATAGTTTTTCTTTCAGTTTGATTGGAATACCAGGAGATTTTTTTTAGAATGTCGGAGGGTTTGTTAGTTTAAAACGTTCCGTATTTTGGAATGACAAATTTTGACCAGCTACGGTGAAAATAAGACTTCCATAATGACCAGCGGCCCGGAGGAAAATACTCGATCCCACATTAAAAACCGACCTTATTCAAACCAAGTGGGACGGGGTTCATATTTAAATCTTGAGCTTGGCAGTTCCGTTGGGGATCGATTTTCAGATTCATCCGGGGAATTGATCAGAAAAAAAAAAGTTTTCCAAGTCGTGATAGATTTTTTCGTATATTATCTGTTCCGTTCCGGAACTCAGCTCTCCTCTCTTGCGTTGCACGCCCATTACGCCATGGGCGTGGTGGGTGATCCCAAATATCAGCGGTTGTAAAATTTTAATATTTTGCAGCTTAGATCGGCGGGTCCTGTGTTAAAAACCGACCTTAACTCAATTTTTAAATGGGTTGGGTAAAAAGGTAAATCTCGATGTTTCAAAAACGCCTTCAAAACCCTTTCGGAAAACCAATCAAAAGATAATTAATGATTTCTGTCCAACCTACGCTGCGATTGTAGTATCTGTTCCGTTCCGGAGACCTTCTCTCCTCCCTTGCATTGTCCTACTTCCCTGTTGCGTAACATCTGTTATATTAGCGGTGGTATGCCCAGCTTAGACAAGCTATAACCAGCTAAGACCACCTTAGATCAGCGGCTCGAGTTGAAACACCCGGATCCCCATGTTAAAAACCGACCTTGTCACTTCACCAAGCACCCGGAGTCCATTCTCCAGAGCTTGAATAAATTGTCCTACTCTTATCATCTCTCAGTTGTGTGTCTGTCTTCGGGCGGAGCACGTCCTAGAAAATATTGAGAGATGCCCGGTCCCGGGAACAGTTGCTTGAGGCAGTATCCCCTCATTGCCCTAAAGAAAGGCATCAGCTGAGTGGAGCGGACCTCACATAAACTATGTCAAATGATTCGGACAAAGAAGGTCAGCTGAGGAAGCGGGCTTGATGAAGTACTTTTTTTAGACAAAAACTGACAGACCAAAGAACACTTCTCCATAAACTATGCTTAAACCGTTCGCCCCCGGCCATAATAGACGTTTTAATCAACTTAGAATAACCCTAAGCAATGCTTTTTTTATCTTGTTACTTATGTTCTCAATTATAATTGAATGTTTAATCTGCTCTTTACCATTTGTAGGTGCCGAATATGAGAGAATCAATTCCATCAGTACCAGTCGCAGGAACTTGAGAATGCTTCGACGCAACAATGCTAACAGACAGTACGAAGTAAGTAGCCGAATTTCTTGGTACTTTTTAAAATCATTTCACCCGTAGTAAAAGTAATAAAGCCACTAAAACGCAAGGGGTTACAGAATGTGAGAGAATATGAGAAAAAATATTATTAAAGAGCGAGAACAATAAAAGAATGGGGATTAAGAAGAATTAAGAATGGGGATTAAGAAGAATTAAGAATGGGGATTAAGAAGACAGAAGATAACGAGGTCAAAGTTGTCGGGAGAGCAAGATCTTTTTTTTAACAATAAAATTAATTCCAACAACTCTACTCTTAAGAGTCAAGAACAACTACGCGGTGTACACTGGGTCGAACCGCACTCATTCCTTTTCTATTTCATTTGTGAGAAGAGATTTCCACCTGAACAGCTTCTCCCACCTACCGTCCATTGGTGCAAGCTCGTCAGGTAGATGGCCGGCTACACCCATAAGCATAATCGATTAGAATGTTTTGTTCATTTCAAAATAAAAAGGCCAGTACAGAGATGGTTGACCATGTGGGAAAACCAGGTGATCTAAGTTTGGAGGTGTGGGTGGTGTAATGAATAATGACTCAGAATTATTAATTGGGGAACCAAGTTCCCGTACGATCACCGAAGTTGAGCAACGTCGAGCTTGGTCCGTACCTAGATGGGTGACCGGTTGGGAATACCAGGAGCTGTAAGCTTGGATGTGCGTGTGGTGTAATGGATAATGACTCGGAATTATTAAATGGGGAGTCAGGTTCCCGTAAGATCAACGAAGTTGGTACGTCGAGCCTATCGTCCTAGATGGGTGACCATGAAGAATGTCTGGTGCTAAGCTTGGATGTGCGGTTGGTGTAATGGATAATGGCTCAATTTTATTAATCGGAAAGCCGAGTTCCCGTACGATCACCGAAGTTGAGCAACGTCGAACCTAGTCAGTACCTAGATGGGTTACCGCTTGGTAATACCAGGTACTATAAGCTTGGATGTGCGGTCGGTGTAATGGATAATGGCTCGGAATTATTAGTCGGAGTGCCGTGTTCTCGTACGATCTCCGAAGTTGAGCAACGTCGAGCCTGGTCAGTACCTAGATGGGTGACCGCTTGGCAATACCAGGTGCTGTAAGCTTGGATGTGCGGGTGGTGTAATGGATAATGGCTCGGAGTTGGAAATCGGAGAGTTAACTTAAGCAATGTCGAGCCTGGTCAGCCTGGATGTGCGGATGTTGTCATGGCTAATGGGTTGGAATTGTCAAATCGAGTTCGTTATATTTACTTATACGAAAACACCTTAGAAGATTTAAATCTAACACTTCTTCCCCCCTCCCCCAGGTATCAATTTGTATCAGCAAATCATCTTTATTTCCAAAGATATTTATATGTACTTGTGTGTGTGTGAAAGAAAAAACAAATCTGTAATTTTAAAATGAAGTCGAATATTTACTGTCTTATTTAGTTATTTGTTGTTTTATTTTATTTTATTGTTTTATTTTTTATTTTATTTTATTGTTTTGTTTTATTTTATTTTATTGTTTTATTTTATTTTTATTTATTTTATTGTTTTATTTTAATTTATTGTTTTATTTCATTTTATTGTTTTATTTTTATTTTATTGTTTTTTTTTTATTTTATTGTTTTATTTTATTTTATTTTTTATTTTATTGTTTTATTTTATTTTATTGTTTTATTTTTTATTTTATTTTGTTTTACTTTTTATTTTATTGTTTTATTTTATTTTATTGTTTTATTTTATTTTATTGTTTTATTTGCCAAACAGGATATGGAATTTCACATGGAAGCCCGCGAAAATGCAATGGTCGGTCAAAAATTCAACGTGACTCTTCTGGCCCGGAACTTAGGACTCGAACATCGTTCCGTTAAGACGTCTTTCTATTGTAAAGTTGTTAATCACTACGGAGATACAGTGGGCATGTGTCGCGAACTACACATTGGTACCGAATACAAAGCCAAAGAAGGTAAATCTGAATTTGTCTTTTATTCGTTTCCTAAAAGAAGCACCCCGCCGACACTTCACCACCTATAGTCTTTAGATGTCTTTTTCTGATTGTAAGTATACGTTTTCGGCATTATTTAAATAGAGTGATCCATTCCTAAAAAAAAAAAAATTTTAAAAAATAGAGAAATTCTTTATGTTCCATTATAGTTCCATTCTAGTCAACTAATGACGGAATAGAGCCAAGCGCCATTCACTTGTTCAGAAAGCTGGTTACATAAAATTTTAAATGTGCCATTAGCCAGCAAAAAATTAAAAATGTAAGGAATATTTATGCCGTAATAGGTTAATGTCGTTATTATTATTATTATTATTATTAAATATATGATAAATTCTTCAAAAAAAGAAATATCTCTGTATGTGGACTTGTATGCAGGTCACTAGTGGGTCTGAAGTGTTACATACGACACAAACATAAAAACTAGATCTTCGTATCCTCATACGTCGAAATCATTCACCGAAAACATGTCAAAATCGCTACACAACTGCAGTCGTGTTTCGGTGCATATCAATGCATCTCATTAGGCGATTGTAAATTACTGGCGAGTGAACGATTTATTTATAACATGGCTCTACTTTTGAGCCCTCTTTAAAATTAAATGTTTGGACTCTTCGTTCACACTTACCTTCACCCCTCCACACACACACACACACACACACATATACACACACACACACACACACACATATATATAGCCGCATGTTTTCATTCAAGCATGTTTGGTTGAATAATCTGGACATATGTCTATTTTAATTTTGATCCTCTCAAATTCACGGATCAATTTCTTAATATTGTTATTAAACTCATTTTGGAAGTATTTATTTTGTTTTCACAAAAGTGCTTTCAGTCTCATGCAAGATCATCTTCAGGGGTGAATTTCTAAGACAAAAAAATGAATGTAATTGATAGTAGTGAATTACTTTGTAAATGCGCAAGAAACGTACTGTTATAATTATAAACATGTCTGAACATCTTAGGCAGGTAAATTAAATTATATTTTTTTTATTATTAATGCTTTAAAATACTCAACCTGCAATTTAATAAAATTGCAAGTTGAGTATATCTCAAAATATTGCTTTTACAGTTATTTTAAAAGATTGTTACTATACTCATAATGAAACTTATTTAGTGTTTGTTGTATTTTTCTTATATATAGAGTGCTTCAAGAATATCAAGTTTTTATTTTTATTTTCATGTACAAATGTATTGTCAATTAATATTTCTGTAAAACGTGAATATGAATAGGAATGTTCCTTTAAATGTTGTGCAATAGAACTTGAATCCGACATATGTAATTTAAGTCTCCTCGATTATGTTGTTCTTGTTTAACCAACATATACATTTACTTTTTTGTCAAACGTTTCCTGTTTTTCTTTTTCTTATCCTTCTTTTAGATTTATCTTAGCACATATCTTAATGCATATCTGGGCAGCAACTATATATATATATATATATATATATATATATATATATATTTATATATATATGTGTGTGTTGTGTGTGTGTGTGTCTGTGTGTGTGTAAATTTGTGTGCGTGACAAAGTGGAAAAACTTTGCAAACATCGCCTTTTGATTTCATCGGACTAAATTTGTTATGTTGTTAAGGCTACACATGCGCACGACAGAGGGATTTTTTCCATGGGAATTTTATCTAGCCGAATTCATTTAGTTTTTTTTTCTTAATCCCTTTTCTAAATAGGTATTCCACACTGTTTTATTAGAAGATCTACCAGGAATGGTGAAATTTTCTTAGAGCCAGGGTTCAAATGGAATTTTGATGATAGACATGCGAAATCACATTTGTTTATCATCATATGCCTTGAAATGCGTCGGCAAGGACATAAAGTATCTGCTTTTTCGATTGTCGATTTTTTTTTCAATTTGTTCTTCCCTACAGATTTATTCTGAGAACTTTGACACACACACACAAGAGATTTAGAGAGAGAGAATTTTTGGAATAGCGAGCGTGATGAGGGAACAAGCATGACAAATGGGGGGGAAGATCGATCGCGACAAGGGGGAAGAGCGAGCGTGACAAGTGGGGGAAACAGATTAAGATTTCTAGATAGATAGATAGATTTAAAAAGGAAGAATAAATCTGTAGAAAGATAAATTGAATAAAATAACAATCGAAAAAAGTCCTTAGTCCTTGATAACAGTTTTGTCATTTGACTACATCCGATTGTTCTTTCATATTTTGATTGGCTTTCTACAGATTTATTTTGAAGGAAATAACATCTATCTATCTATCTATCTATCTATCTCATCTATCTATCTTCTCTCTAATATCTATCTCTGTCATTTTGATCTATCTATCTTTCTATCTTCTATCTATCTATCTCAGTCTGCTCATATCTATCTTTCTATCTATCTATTTATATATCTATTCGATTATAAAATATCGCACAAATTTATTTTATAATCAAATAGCAATTTATATTTATATAAATATATTAATAATCTTTTTTAAATATAAGTGGTCTATATATTCTTATAAATATATTTTCTATATTTATAAATTCTTACTATACCTCTCCCACTCCCTGTTCTGCTGTCTAGTCCGCTAGACCCCTAACTGTTTCCTCTTGCATCTCTAGCCTTCAGTACGCCATGTGAGTGTTAGATTTTCCAAACACTCAAGGAGATGATTTTATTAGCTGAAATATTTTCTTAATTCGAATTTTAAAAAAAAATTAATATTCATCCAATTCAGCGCTCGAGTGCAACTCAAGGTAGAGCTTTACTTTTCGAGTGATTTTTTTTTTTTCATTTAGATTTCGTTAATCTGTTTTCTTTCGCGTCCATCTTTAGGAGACACGGTAGAATAATGGATAGCGGCTCGGATTGGAGAATCGGAGAACTGAGTTCGAATTCCAGGTCGAGTTGGTAACATTCACTTATCTGCAAATAATACTCTTAGAATGGTATGAATAATTCCCCCCCAGCTATGGGTAAATAGCAGGACATAATGGATCCTATACCCTATAAAGGCAACTCTGAATTTAAAACATGAGTGGTCGAGTGGTCAGCACCTAAATCGGCTCACCCACCAAAGAGTAAGTGGAACCCCAGCAGAACAAAAACAAAGGCTGTTAAAGGGTAGATGAACTCCTCAGAGTCAAGGACCATCCCCCCACAACTATGGGTTATATTGCCTCACCAATTAATTGCCAAGCGTAACGAGTACGACTAGATCACTGAAGACTTGGTCAACCAGAATTTCGATTTGGACATCTTCCGCCATCGATTATATATTAAGGCTTGTGGATCCCTTTTAGGCATTTCTGTAGCGAGGTGGGCGGGTATTTTTATTTGTTGGGAGTAACAAACCGTGTTTCTTTCACGTCATTGGAGGCTGAACTGAGACGTCATCAGCGGTGGAATTACGAACGTAGAGAGGGAAAACGGAAAATTATTCCATTGTCATTGTCGAGTCCGAACGAGACGGAGGCAAAAGTGTTAATTGATGCGAAACTACAACGCGTTTGTAGCAAAGGTCCAGGAAAGTCTTTCATGAGACCCAAACGTCTGAAGTCTTTGCTGGACTCTTGGTGCAAAAGCTGAAACACCCTTGTCGAAGATTTGGTCGAAACACGTTGAACAGAATAAAGAGACTTATCTTTATATATATATATATATATATATTTTATCTTGCTTGTTTGTATGAACGATAGTTACAGATTTTCTGCATAGAATTAGAATGTAATATCTACCTAGGTTAAGAGTATAGTATCTGCTAGATCCTCAGCACATGTGAGCTGGAATCAGTTACGCTTTCTGACCAAGAAGCTATACTATGATTCAGGTTATCTGTAGGAAGTTAACGCTTTACTTAGGATCAGAGTGTAGTAGCTGTCCAAACACCAAACCTTTTTAACTTGTACCAGTTACATTTTCTAACCAAGAATCTATATTATATTTCTCTTTGTTTGTATATAAGATCGTTCTTCTTTCCTGGAGAGGATCAGAATGTAGTATAAGTATGTTACTGGACAGTTCCGAGATGAAATTCAATTACGCTTTCTAATCGAGAATCTATTCTATTTCTTTGCATGAACGACCTAGGATCAGAGTGTAGTATCTGTCTAAACAATGGCCCTACTGAATCGATATCAATTACGATTTATAATTGAAAATCTATATTACTATTTTGTGTGTGTTGTATATTGCTAAACATCTCTTTTCAACTCCTCTCAGCCCTTCCTCCACGTTGCACAAAATATATATACTACAAGCGACCTAAATATACAACTTAGTATCTTATCTCATGAAACGCTATCAGCCATATAACTAACTTGAAGTTCACATGAAACTTTAAATCGCAGAAAAATTAGCATTATTTTAGTATCGCCTTTTTTTTAAGTTATATAAAATAATCCTATATATATATATATATATATATATATATATATATATATTTTAGATATGTACCTGACGATTACATATAAAAGGAAACAGACTGTCGACTGTGTTAGTGTTGACTTCTATGTTCATTTATATATATATATATATATATATATATATATATATATATATATATATATTCATGAATTATTCATACAAAAACAAATACAAAGTTTAATGATTTAATTGGCGAGAAAAAATCATCACAAACAATTCAAATAATATACAAAAACCCCGAACCTGTTTATATACATGAAAAGATCCTTGTTTTATAAATTTCAGTTGCATAAGTTCTTATTATTTTTACAAGCTTTCGTCTGTTTTTTGTATGAATAATTCATGAAATTGTAAATTAATTGCATATATACATATATATATATATATATATATATATATATATATATATATAAAGAAATATAGTCTTAAGGTATGCTATATTTATTTTTTAAGTGCTCAATATCAGAAATAGAGCGTGTGTAAATATAAAAGTGAACATAGAAGTCAACACTTAGAGGCGACAGTTTGTTTCATGCTAGACGCAATCGTCAGGCCACGAGTGCTGTTATTTTTCTCGGTTAGTTATATATACGGGTCAGTGGTGCATTGTGGGTAGTATATTTTGGCTGCTATTTTACCGGAAGTCACTTATTTGTTTATTTATTTATTTAGGTTAAATTATTTTGCATGTTTTTATTTATTTTTATTTTTATTTCTTATCTTATATATTTATTTTTTTTTTTTATTGGTCGGTGTTAACTAGTAAAAATGTTATTGTTAACTAGTAAAAATTTGTTTATATCGTTTATTTAATGGTTTTGTTTTGATTTGGGAAGATAATTAAAGCTATTTATTCAATTTTGGGGTTGATTGTTGTAGTTTATTCTAACTATTATTTTGGCGGGAAGAGATTTTAATTTGTTTATTTCTTCGTTTATTTATTTGGATTGATTATGTTTGTTTTGTTTTTTCTAACGGTTAATTTAATAATTTGTTAGTGTATTTATTTATATACATTAATAAAACCACCGATTAAAATAAAACAAAAAAATGAAACAGACTGTCGCCTCTAAGTGTTGACATCAATGTTCCCTTTTCTATTTATATATATGTTAATTTTAAAACGTTTTTATATTTATACAATCTTTTTTATAGTTACAAATATTTAAGTAAATGCCCTGTTTCATAATAAACAGTATTAACAAAATTTACTCGCCCGAGAAATTGTCATAGAAAATATTCGTCCTCCGACAGGAATCAGACCTGTATCCTATACGGAACCGTCATATAGCCTGACGTGCTTTTACCAGTTTCGCCACAAAGGAGCGTTACTTAAATATTTGTATCCATAAAAGGGAATGCATAAACATAAAAATGTCTTAAAATAGTCCATTTCATAATGCGTGATATATGTTAATATAAATTAATTAATTAAATAATTAAAAAATAAACAAACTTAAGTTTCAATGACTATAAATAATTTCCCCAGAAAATATATTTTTCCTCGTTCATCACGTCCATCTCTCCAAAAGAATTAGGTTTCTTTTATTTTTAATCTATCTATCTATCTATCTATCTATCTATCTATCTATCTATCTATCTATCTCTCTCTCTCTCTTATATATATATATATATATATATATATATATATATATATATAATTTAAATACATTTTCCAGCATCCCTCGTCCCAGCGCATGTAGCCGCAACAACGTAATCAAATATTTCTGATGAAGTCCTAAAGGACGAAACGACGCACACCGAAACGTTTTCCACTTTGTCATATATTTTTTTCACAAAAATTGTTGTGATAATTTGTTCTTGATACATAAAATATATATATCGTTTTATCATATATTGAATATATATATATATATATATATATATATATATATATATACACACACACACACATATATATATATACACACACACACACACACACACACATATATATATATATATATATATATATAAAATATATAAACAAATTATATCCGAATTAGAGACAACTTATATTCATTAAATTTCCGGAATATTCAGATTTTTTAAATTTTTTTAATATAGATGTATTCTGAATTTTAAATAATTATTATTTTTTAATTTTATTTATTGATTAAACATAGTCCTTGCACAGCTTTCGTTGCATTCAGAACAGTTTCGTCTACCTAATTACACTGAGGCTTTGGTCAAACGGTGGCCTGGTTTTCAGGAACTTGCCAAAATATTCTCACAGAAATTCATAAGTTTTATATAGAATTTTATTCGATATTAACCCACAAAATTACTGCTATCGAAATATTCAAGACGACGTCCATAAAAGACAATCATGAACAAAAGCATCAATAATAAGATAGAAATAACTAGTAATAAAATAATAGTAATAATGAAGAGTGTATAGAGCCAGAGTGTTGGGATAAAAGCAACAATAATAAGATGGAATAAAACTAGTAATAAAATAATAGTAATAATGAAGAGTGTATAGAGCCAGAGTCTTAGGATAAAAAGCAACAATAATAAGATGGAATAAAACTAGTAATAAAATAATAGTAATAATGAAGAGTGTATAGAGCCAGAGTGTTGGGATAAAAGTAGCCGAATAATAAGGTGGAATAAAACTAGTAACAAAATAATAGTAATAATGAAGAGTGTATAGAGCCAGAGTGTTGAGATAAAAAGCAATAATAATAAGATGGAATAAAACTAGTAATAAAATAATAGTAATAATGAAGAGTGTACTGGCAGATTGTGTTTCAATACAAAGATAAAATAAAACTAATATTGAAATAATAATAAAATGCTTCTATTGAAAGTTGACTAAATCTCACAATACTTTCAGAAACTTGTTTGCTTTTCTTTTGTCTTCTCTGTCATCTTTTCTTAAATACAGGCAAACCAATCACAATGCAGATTATGCCAGAAGATTATATGAATTTCCTTGACCGGGTCGAATCTCACTTGGCAATGAAGATTTCTGTATACACCCGTGTTTTGCAAACTGACCAGGTCTTCATGTATACAGAAAGCTTCCAATTGGACTGGCCAACTCTAAATATTGATGTAAGTCTATCGCTCTCTTTTTTTTTAAATATTTATATTCTTGAATTAATGACAAAGAGTGATTATACTCTGTTGTGACAAAAGTCACATGTTGAAATATGTAAAGGTATATATGTAGAAAGAAACCGTCGCAAACGAATGTGAACTCCACCAAACAATCAGCCTAATGAGCCACATAAGAAAACTAATAATCCGAATTCTGATGAGAAAAGCGCGCAGCAGAATCAGGTCTAATATAGGACAACAATAGTGCGGGTTCGTCAAAGACACCGGAACAAGGAAGGCAATATTCATGCTCAGAATGTTATCAGAAAGCGTAATGCAAATGCAGATGATCGTGCAACTGTGTTTTTATAGACTACGCAAATTTTGCGTTCGACAAAGTACGCCACAAAGATCTGTTAGAGCTATATAGCAACCTTGATATTCATGGGAAATTCTATAAAAAACAAACCGCTTGCATAAAGATAAAAAATGTGTTCAGCAGATGTACAAAAACTAGAAAGGGGCGTAAGGCAAGGAAGTGTCTTCTCACCGGACTTATTCAACCCATACAGTTCTGAAAAAAAAACTGGAAACCTACCAGGATTCATCATTGGTGGCCACAATATTAACATATAATATGCAGATGACACTGTGTTAATAGCAGACACAGAAAGGAAACTACAAAAACTCCTACAGAATGTAACAAAAGAGAGCAAGAAGAAGGGACTAAGCCTACACGAAGAAAGAATGCATGGTCATCAGCGATGACCATGCATTCTTTGATGAGGCCGAAATATCTTTTACAGATCAGGGACACTAAAATCAAGCAAGTGCAAAAAAGTAAATATCTGGTAAGTGTTCTGACAGAGGACGCTAAGTACGACGCTGAGATCCGAAGACATATTGGGATGGCCAAAGACGCATTCCAAATGTTAGGCAGAGTATTACAAGACAGGAAGATTTCGTTGGTAACAAAGAAAAGAGTACCGAATTGCTACGCGATATCTGTCCTCTTTTACGGCAGTGACTGTTTGACGGTCTCCTCAAAGAGTTCTAGTTCCACGTGCCATGCCTCTCCCGGATGTCTCAGTTATTTGCCTTTAACCCGACACTCCAAGATTTTCGTTCACCACTGATGTGGCCTAATATTGAACTCACAACACATTGGGTCTAGTCACTGGATCTAACCAACGTCTTAATTCACTGGGCCATGTGTCCTTGAGAAATAACTGAGACATCCGGAAGAGGCATGGCACGTGGAACTAGAACAGTCTACCCCGGTGGACCAAATAAAAGGTTCAGTTCGAAATTCCAAATCACCTGAAGAAGGCCGGACCGTACAACGACCGAAACACTATTTACATTATTCGGAGTATTGTCCTCATAAATAAATAAATAAATAATAAAAAAAAAAAAACGTGCTAAAAATTATACATGTTATTTTACTAGTTCCGGTGATACAAAGAGAAACAATGATTTTTTTAATCAAAATTCAGAATGTTCTAAAAAGAAGGAAAATTTTAAAAAAATAATTAAAAAAAAACTTTGGTAATTCCTCTTAATAATAACATAAACATTTAGACGATAAAATTTTGTTTTCGTCAAGTTTGGCGTTTTTTCTTCATGCTATTCTCTTTTTTTTTAGCGATCTCGTGGAGGTACCTACCTTAACCCTAACCCTAACTCCTAATCCTAACCTCTAACCCTGCCATATTTCATACTTTTTATGTATTTCTTTTGTATTTTTAATTTTAAAGAAACCACCAAACATCATTTAAAATTCTTACCTCGATAAAATGATTCAACTCTAGTATATTTACTGAGGCCTTTGCAACCTACCGTAAATGAAGATGCCCTCATTATTGCCGGAAAATGCACAGGAAAAACGATGACTTGTTTAATAGTTTTTATTGTATTTTTTTAAATGGCATCAAATCGGTTTACAAATATTCAAATCACTATTTGATGATTTTTTACATTTTTTTTGTATAAATTTTTTTTAAGGATTTTTAACATAACCATTTTAACCCTAACCCCTATACCTAACTGTAACCTTTAACCCTAACTCCTAACCATAAACTATTTCTTGCTTTCTTCGTTCCTGTTGCTTTTATTCCTAGGTCCCCGGTCGATATATTCTTCGATCAAACTCAGGTTTAAGGTTGTTTCTTCTTTTTTATTTTTTTTCATCGTTAGGAGTCGAAATTATTTTATAAAGGACGGTCCGATTTTACAACGTCGTCTGCAAAAGCAATAACTCTTATCACAAAGAATTTGATTATTCTAAAAGACATTTCCAAAATAGGAGAAAAAGTAGTTTGTTTACTTATGCCATTAATTTCAGCATTTCAGAAACACATTATTTATAGATTTGTTTTTGTAATTTTAATTTTAAAGAAACCGCCGAACAACACTGAAAATTCTTGCCTAGATAAAATGATGCGACTATTGCATGCTATTTTCGAGGCATTTGAACCTACCGTAAATAACGACACACTCATTATTGCTGGAAAATGTTCAGGAAAATGATGACCTGTTTAATACTTTTTTTTTTTTAAATGGGATGAAATTAGTTTACAAATATTAAAATCACTATTTGAGTATTTTAAAAAAAAATTTTGTATAAAAAATTGTTAATGATTTTTAACATAACAATTTCACTGTTCATTGCCTTTAACCTTAACCCCTAAACCTAACCCTAATCCCAGCCCCTAACCCTAACCTTAACCCCAACCCCTAATCCTAACACTAACTCCTAATACTAACCCCTAATCCTAACCCTAATTCGTAAACCCTAATCTTAACCTATTCCATACTTCCAAAACTTGGTAGATCTCATACCATAGTAGAAAATGAATAGTCGAGGGTCATTCAATAAATAAGGTGAATTTTTCGGTATAAGGACTACTAATACAGATAGAAGCTTACTTATTTTTTTTTCAACGTAGTCTCCCAGCACTGTCACACACTTTTCCCATCTGTTCACAAGCTTCCGTATTCCCTCAGCGTAATGTTATAGACAAGCGTATGGTTGCAAGAAAGAAATACGAAAACAGCAGGAATAGATTTACGTGATTTATTTCAACAGGAACGTGTGGGTTTGGGACAGTTACCTTGTGGTATAGTTCATAAGCCAGTTTTTGATATGGGTCGGTCTCTCATAGTAGTTCACACTGGTTGGCGCTGGCGCTCCCCCTGCTGACTGCTGCTGACGGCTCAGTCTGACCGTGACAGGTCTCTTCCCTGGCCTCCTGTTGACTGCCCTTGTACTTCCCTGTGACCACTTTTATGGCGTTTTATTTTATGGCTTGACAGCATCGTAAAACGACGCGAGTATAATTAGGAGGGAAGCATTTTTATTAGTCGAAAAAAAGAAACACTTTAAAATATTATCTTATTTTTCGACCCGAACTCGTGCGTCGGGAATATGCGTAAACGCGTAAATATTGTCATTTTGTGACGGCGCCTTGTCCTGTTCACATCCGGCTCTCGCTCTTGAGTATGTTAGTTTATTTGCCTGCAAATCAGCCAAGATATGTCTTATATTATTTTATAACAGTAAAAATCTTTGGACTGATGTCTCAGCCCTTCGCTCACAACACTTTTGACTTCATCGTCACTTTTAAACTTCGTGCCTCTCGTGAACGCTTTCAAGGGACCAAACAGGTGAAAGTCTGAAGGGGCAAGGTCTGGGCTGTAAGGGGGGATGAGGGAGCAGTTCCCAGCCCAGCTCGTTGATAGTCTGCACCGTTTGGGCTGCTGTGTGAGGCCTTGCGTTGTCATGATGCAAGATGACTCCTTCTGACTGATGACCCCTGCGTTTGTTCTTTATGTCTTTCTTGACCTGCCTCAGCAGTTCACAGTAGTTCAGACTGAATGAGGTCATTGACTGATTCGATCACCTCAGGAGACCTCACTTCTGTAGGCCTCCCAGGCCTGTCTTCATCCTCAACACTGCTCCGTCCTTCTTTAAACAATTTAGCCCACTTGTAGACATTTTTTTTTGACTGAAACATGTGGCACCATACACGGTTGACATTCTCCTATGAATTTCAACTGGTTTGCACCCTTCAGCAACCAAAACCTGATAACTGACCGCTGTTCAATCCTGGAGCATGCTTCTTGGTCGGCCATCTTTGTTAATCGCCAAAACTCTCAAAGTTTTTTTTAATATGCAAAAGAAATTAAATCCATGTGAAAAAGAAGTAAAAACAAAAGCAAAAAAAATAAATAAATAAAAAATACCAAAAAAAAATCTGTATTTAGAAGTCCTTATACCGAAAAATTCACCTTATTTATTGAATGACCCTCCAAATCGTCATTCTATAGTATAAAATGTCCATCTCATCAAATGTTTAATATCTCAAAATAGTAAATATTCTATAGTATAAGATTAATTTTGTATCATATTATAGTCGAAAACAGACAGTAGATATCATACTATAGTAGTACTAAAATGTTTTATAATGCAGTCAAAAATATTCAAAAGCTGTTATACATAGGTTCAATTTTGTTTTGTCTTAATTACTGGTAATGGTGAGGGGAAAAAGATCATTGGCCCAACTTTGACCGCAAAGGTCACGTTCTTGAACCCCCTTAACGTCCATTCAAAAACTGGTATGAGCGTTCTTTCTTTTGAAAAAAATGTATTGAATACAAAGTCACTTTGAAATCCAGGAGAAACAACAGTCCTGATATCATCTTCAACTTCAAATTTTATCCTGGATATATTCATGATATCATTCTTTTTTTTTTGTTTTGTTTTGTTTTATTTTAAAAAGATATCAACACCTCAATGGGTCCAAATGTCGTCAAAATTTTCATTGTTGGTAAATTTTTCCTTCAAAATCTAAACCTGGTAAGAATTTTCATTCATTCTTTTCAAAAAATGTATTGTTATAATAATTATTTTTACAAAAAAATTGTTCTGTTATTAAAACCTATTTTTACATTTCATAGTGTTTTATATATAAATATTGGATTAACTATTTGCCCATAGCTATATAAACCTAACAGGAGCTACCACCGCATGTCAGGATGGACCTTCATGACATCAACAATTAAAAGATGGTTAATTTTCGTTTAAAATCGAT